TTAAGATTTAAAATAACTTTCGTAGATATATAATATATTTCTTTAAGGTCTTAAAGTCTAATATAATATTATCGATATATACTTAAATAAAGTCTTTAATAGATTATAGAATTTTATTAATCTATCGCTATATATAAGCTATAAAATTTATATATCTTATAATTAATACGTTAAAAGTCTCTTAATCTCGATAAGAAACTATAATAAGTATATAGCGATTATTATAGTAAATAAGCTATTAATAGAAAAAAGATATTATATCGAATATAGATAAATAAATATATTCTAGTAATCTTATTATAATATCTAATTATAATAATATAGAGTATATATCTAAAATAATAAGATTATTAAGGCCTCTAATATCTATTATAGCTCTTTTCTTTTACTTATTATTTAATAGCGTTTTCTAAATTATAAAAATAGAATAACTAAATAGAGTAGACTTAATAGTATATTTAAGTCTATCTTATTATTATAAATCGTTAAATATATTATTAATTATCGCTTTATTATTAATATCTAGAGAGTAAATCTTAATACAATTCGACTTTAATAGTTTATCTTATTAGTTATCGCATAGTATAATCTTTATTTAATTATATTTAAATATTTTAATAAAGTCTTTATCTCTTTATAAGATAGAAAATTTATTAATTAGATCTATTAGAATCTAAGTATTATATTTATTACTATAAATTATAATATTATTTAATAGCTTAATCTCTTTAGCAAGATCTAATTAAGATATAATAATATTATAAACAAGCTATAAGAGGCTATTAGCTATATTTATTAATATTACCATAATAAGAATAGCTACTTTCTTAATCTAATTACTTATAATAAACTTATCTATAAAAGACTTCGACGAAGGCTCTATAAAGAAGATATTTTTATAATTAATTTTATATAGTATATCTAGATAAAGCTTCTTAGAAATTTAAATAACTTAATTAGTTTTATTTTTAATTAGGATTTTAGTAATATATAAGTCTATAAGATAAGCGTATAGAGTCAAATTTCGCTATACTATTAATTTGAAAATATAGTCTCTCTTAGATAATCTTTTAAGAGAGTTAATAAATATTATAATATTAATATAGAGCGCTATAATTAAGGCTTTATAAGTATAAATAATACGTTTCTAATATAAACTACGTTATTAATTAATAATATTAGTAATAATAGTATAGCTATTAATATATACTTTATCTTAAATAATATTAAGTATAATCTTCTTAAGATTTATAATATTATTTTTTAATAGTATATAGGCTTTTAGACTATTAATAAGATAGATCTTTTTTTAAATACAATAGAGAATCTTACTATTATCTATCTTATTAATAGAGATATATATTAGAATAAGAATATACTTATTAATATTATATATAGCTGAATCTAAGCCCTTAATATGAAGAGATAAAGTTATTTTTCGAATTTCTACGAGAGATAATAATATTAATAACTATGATTTATCTACTAAAGTAACTCTATAGCCAATATTAATATAAATCTCTTTATTAATAATATTAAGCTATAGACGTATAAAGATATAAATATAATTTTACTCTTAAAAGATAACTTTTATATCTAGATTAGACTTTTTAATAAAGTTAGAATTAATAATTTTAATAAAATCGAAGTCTTAATAGTAGAAGACTTTTAATTAATAAATAAAAGGCTTTTATTTAACTACGGAAGACTCTTATAAATAGCTCTTCTATAAGTACTTATAGAGTTTTATTTTAGATGCGAATAATATCTCGTAATTTTAATAGATTATATAAATATCGATAAAGTTAATATAGGCCTCTTTATATAGCTATTCTTTATAATTGTTAATAAAGCTTTTCTTAGACGATTCGCCTTAATAAGCTTCTTATACTTTATTATATTCTTAAAAGATATTAGAATAATCCTCATTAGTATAATTAGCTTAATTATAAGCTATTTAATCGTTATAATTAGCTTAATAAGTAGCGGCCTAGCTATAATAGATACCTTATAGCTACTATAGCTACTTACCTCTATTACTTTAGTAGCAATTATCTCGCCTTAAAAACCTTTCATTTTAAGAAGAGTTTAATTACTTAAATTAATTCGAGAACATCGAATCTAATATACTTAAAGAACTAGCGATTTAAAGGCGTAACGGTATAATAAGCGAATAATTACTTTATAAAGCGTATTATTAATTTAATTAATAATTATACTATTAATTATTATAAATATATTATTCTCTATCGTAAGATCTATTCTAATAATTAAAAGGCTATTACGAATAGAACTAAGACTAAAAGAAGTTAAACGATTAATTTTTATAGTTCTACTAATCTTAATAATTAATATTTAATTAATCTTATCGAAGATCTTATTAAAAGATTTAATTATTGCGTTATTATTATAGTAGTTAACTTTATTAAAGCCTTTAATAAAATAATTTAGATTTTTTAAATTATATATCTTTCTTTAATTTAAGTACTTAAATAAATGAAGAAATCGATATTATAGTAGATAATGAGTTTACGAAAGTATATAAGTCTACTACGATATCTTAATAGATAAATGTTAACTAATTTTTAATATTATTTATATTAGTAGACTTAATATATTAAATAACTACTTATATATAGCCCGAAGGCTCTCTTCTATTATATATATTTATTAGAGTATACTTTTTAGTAATAAGATAAGCGAGTATTACTCTAGTTAATTTCTTAAATTATCTTAATAGCATCTTATACTATTTTTTAATATCATTATCTATTTATAAATTAAGCTTTTTAAGATTTAATAATTTAATAATATATTATAATAATACTATATCTCTTAATATTATATTAAGATTAGCTTTAATTATAGAAAAGCCTTTTATAATAACTATATCTTATAATTATTTAATAAAAAGAATAACGCTACGAAAGTAGATATCTTTATTAATTATAATAATCTTATTTTCTCTATAGAATTTATTGAGATAAGAGTCGAAGTAGTTAAAATCTAATAGATTCTATTAATTGAAAATACTTAACGAGATAAATAACTTTCTAGATAAATCTTATAATTCTAATTCTTCTATAGAGCCTATAGGGCTAGATAATATTTATAGATTTTATAATATTTAGATTATAACTCTTTAAATAGTATTATTAAGATCTTATTAAAGCTATTAATAATTAAAAGAAGAGTTAAAAGCTATAATATTATTATAGATTATAATCTTTATAGAGGTCTTAGAAGTAGAAGAAGAATATTTACTAAATAAGCTTATTAATATAGAGCTTTTTATTTAAATAAGATTTAAAGATTTCTATATAGCTAGCGAGAGAGAGCTTAATAAAGGTGAATTTAATAGGGTAATATCGATTAAAGAAGGCTTTAGTAGCTCTACTAGCTGTATAATAAGATTATTAAAATCTTTAACTATCTTATAAAAGAAAGGCTTATTAATAGCTTAATCTAATAGTTATAATATTAATAACTTAAATTCTAAGAAATTAGATTTAGTTTTTACTTTATTATTTTATAATATAGATAAGAGTCTTAATAGCTCTAAGAGCTTAAGAGTATAAATGATAAGATATTAGATTATAGATACTATTAAAGACTTTAGTAGATTAAGATATAAGTATACTATTTTAATAAAGTCGTCGATTCGAAAGACTAATATAATTGCTCTTTAATTGATATAAATATAGACGATATCGATGTTAAGGAGATATTCTACTAGATTAGAATTACTTACTAGATTAATAAGATAGTAAAGACTTTTTAATTAATAAATAAAAGAGCGTTAGTAAAAGATTTAGATAATAGAATAGCTATAAAGAATTAAGTAATAAAGTGCTATTAAACGAATAGATAATAATAGAGAAGCTTCTAAATTATTTAATAGTTAATTAATATCGAATAATAATATTACTATTATATTATAAAAGTAATATAGAAATATAAGTATAAGAGTAATATATAGTAAAGATAGTTATTCTTCTATTAAGAAGTAACTACTTATAATGCTAAGCTAAGGTTCTTACTAAGATACCTTCTTAATAGATACGAAGATAGATTAAATTATATATCTATACAGTCACGATAGCTTACTATAACAATTATCTTAATTAATTTATTATTTAATTTATAGTTTTATATTATAATATAATAACTTATAAATATAAGTAAATATATTTAAAGTTTTATAAATATTTTATTATTTTAAGATATTTTAAATAAATAATTATAAGACTTAATAACTTAAGAAATTTTAAACTTTAAACTTAGAAAATTTAATATATTAAGAGTATTTATATATATCTTTATTAAATCTAATAATTCGATTAATAAGTAATATTATATTGAAGTGAAATAGCTTCGGGGTAGCTTCGGGGTAGCTCGCTCCGGGTCAAAGCTACCCCGAAAGCTACCAATGCTAATATATACCCAGGGGTGAATCAGCCAAACCATCAAAAAAATGAGGCTTGGCAGGGTTTCCTACTCAGACCCACTGCGTGGGGCCTTTCTGAGACTAGATTTCCTAATAATTACCCACAAGCTTTGATGCCCACTGGTTGAATCGACGTCTGCTGTGGCACTCGCCTTCTCGACATTATACCAACAGCCCCACTTGCTCGACGGGATTCGATGGAAGCAGCCTGTTTCATTGTCTTGTAGTTCCAAGATTCTACCCCAGTGACAAGGCTACGTACCTTCAGAGCGGTTGAATGACCGAAGACTCCAAGTCTCTGGGCATTGTGGTTTTTGACCTGTGCGTGGCTCGAGTGGCTCCAAGTAGATCGGATTGGGTATCGATGATCCACACGGCCTGCCTTGACGATACAAGAATCCAAGGAGTGCTCTGATGACTGACGGGTGCAAAGAGACTTCGAGCGGGCCTTGGACCTCACAGTCAATATGCTTTACTCTTGAACCGGATCCCCTTCTTGCAGATACTGCGAATCTGGAAAGACATATGTCGTGCCACAGATCGAGCTTTTGGGTTAACGCTTTCGCATTTTGGGTTGAGACTTTTTGGTCCCGTTTGTAGCTGAACGCTTGGCGGTCCCTTGGTCTTCGCCACTCTCACCACTTTCTGCACCGTTCATCCATTCCCTACCCTCACCAGGGCTTTTACGCCTCATTGTGCCTGGGCCAACAGCAACAATCTCCTCTTCGCTTTCGCTGTCGCCAACATCCAGCAAGACTGGCATGCTGAATGACTCCTCTTCAAACTCACTCTTGGCAGGCTCGATTGTTAGGACGTCTACAGCTTCATCCTCAAGATCTAATCGACGCTTGTGAATTTCTTCGATCGGATGAATGTCGAATTCGTCTTCACGCTCAATGTATTCAACGTTTTCCTCGACCTCGGCAAAGTCTGGTGCAAGCGCTGACCAACGCTGCGGGGTGACGATGGACCACAGATAAACCCGTCCTGTCTCGAGGCCGCAAGCAGAAACGAACGGTCGATGTGGATGCCACTACTACGTGTCAGCCAGACCATACACTCCCTACTGAACAGCTGCCAACCTCTACTACTCCAAGCTCTTCTTTTGGGCCCTCCAAGATCTTGACCAGGCTGCCATGACCCCTTTCCCATACGTAGATATCGTGATTCATGTAGGTAGTGGCACAAACATACTCTCCTGTTGAGCTAAATGCGACGTGATTCCAAGATAACCTATTGACCACATCCTGGAATTTGTGCTCTACTTCGACACTGATGTCATCAATATCTAGGTCAATCTTTGATAGATCTGGTACGTGAATGGTCCGGATTACTCGGTCGCTAGCGTTGCAAACCATGTGGCGTCCAGATGCCGTAAGGCGGAGAAAAATGACCACACCTGCGCATAGTCGAGTTGAATGTATAATCGCGCAAGTTTGTGTCTCTATGATGTTTAACCACCCTTTGCTGGTGCCGGCAATGATATGGTTACCTAGAGATGTGAAGATGGTAACACAGGTTGATTGCTTCGCATCTTGTGCTGCTTGCTTTTCGTTGATATCTTCTCCTTCCATACGAAGTCTTCTTGGGGCGGTTGGTAGCTGGCGCTTAACGGGCACCGTACCGGATATGTCAACTAGCATCGGCTGGTCTTCAAACAGAGAGGCAACGAAGAGCAAACTAGGTAGATCTGAGCATGTATCTGAACACGAATCGCGATCCTACGTACTGATTGTATGGATGTAGTTCGGCAATGTACACTGGTGCCTCAAAGCGAACAATCCGAACTCTCGTACCATCACTGAGATCCCAAAGTATGCATTTCGAATCCTGCGAGGAGCTGAGGAGATGACGGCCATCGCGTGACCAACTGTAAGGGTTGAATCATAGGAAAAGAGCCAATCAAGGGTCGCTCTCGTACCTCAGTGACTGGATTTGGCGTGTATGACCACGAAGCTTGCGAGCCACTCCACTGGTTTCAATGTCGAAAATCACGATAGTTCCATCCACCTAAGCGGAGCGATTAGTGCCAATCCTTGCGGTGACGTGTCGGATACGTACCCGGCCTGAAGCAAGAAAGTCTCCTCTACGATTGAATCTGAGACACGTTGCATGCCCAGATCCTGGTCATAAGTAGTCAGCAAGAACATAGCAATGCATTAGAGACGATCGTACTGAGCTTGCCCGTGAGCGCTTCTGGGTAGTCCTGAGCGAGGATGAACGGATCAGTCAGAGCAAGATTCATGCTTGAATATGAGCGACCATGTATTGGTCCAGAAAGCAAAAAGAGATTTCATATGAGTAACGCTTCAGATCAGTAGCATGCTCTAAAACAAGAGCAAGTGTGAAGATGCAGAGTGTTGACCTCAAGTGAAGTGGTGAGTGAGTCGAATCGAAAGGAAGGTCAGCCGAATTAGTCTAAACCTCAAGCGGCTGCCATCGACGCTAGTCCTACTTGTAAATTTGAAAAGCGACACAACTTCCATCTCTCACGATACCGGCGACATTCCATCATTCATCCGGCCGTCGCGCAGTATCGCTCTCGCTGTTTCAGAACCCACGGCAAAAGGTGCACGAAGAATATTACGTTTGAGTATATCGCTGAGATCTCGAGTGGAGGGTGATTCACTGCGAAGGGAGCCCTTTGCGGCCAGCCCGGGCGCTGACCAAGAGTCGCGACAGTGTTCCCTACACGACCTGCATCGACTTTTGACCTCGTGTCAATAGTCGAGGGCTCGGATGGGTTCAGGCAGGCTTTTGTGATTTTACAAGGAGGTTGATCTCCGTGAACACTTAGATCTCACAGACTCCAACTCCTTGCCACCTTCGGCCTTGTTTTCGATCTTCAACATCAAAGATGGCGAACCTCAACTTTCAATACTCTAGTGCGCCTCTGCGCTCCATCCAAGAGATCCAGTTTGGGCTTCTCTCACCCGAAGAAATTAAGAATATGAGTGTGGCTCCTATAGAGTACCCCGAGACGATGGACGAGCAGAATCTGCGGCCCCGACAGATGGGCTTGGCGGATCCGCGACTTGGTTCTATTGACAGAGCTGTCAAGTGTGGTACCTGCGATGAAAACATGTCAGAATGTCCAGGACATTTTGGACATATTGAACTCGCAGTACCTGTTTACCATGTTGGTATGTGGTAGGGAGTAGAACTTCGCTCTAGGTATTACTGACGAAACGCCAGGTTTTATGACGAAAATAAAGAAACTGCTGGAAACAGTATGCCACAACTGCGGCAAGATATTAGTAGATGAAGTTAGTCATCCCTTACGGGATGGCCGATCTTGTCCTTTGTATGTTGCTGACGCCTTTCGTTTTAGAGCAACCCAGCGTTTGCGGATGCGATACGTCGCAGAGACCCCAAGAAACGCTTCGACTTGGTCTGGCGGCTTTGCAAACCTAAAATGATCTGCGAGACCACGATGGCATTGGACGATGACGCCCCATCGGACAAAACAAAAGAGCCAAAGCATGACCATGGTGGCTGTGGAAACATACAACCTGAAGTGCGACGAGAAGGACTCCGACTGACTGGTACCTGGAAAGCCCAAAAAGGCGACGAGGAAAACGAGGGCCAACAGCCTGAGAAAAAACCCATCACGCCACAAATGGCCCTCAATATCTTCCGCCACATCTCTACAGAGGATATCAAACGAATGGGGTTGAGCAATGATTATGCACGCCCTGAATGGATGATTATCACTGTCCTTCCTGTGCCACCTCCGCCCGTACGGCCTAGCATTTCTGTGGACGGAGGTAATGGTCCCCGTGGCGAAGACGACTTGACATACAAGCTTGGCGATATCATCCGTGCAAACGGCAATGTCCGACGTTGCGAAACAGAAGGCTCCCCCGCGCATGTTGTTAATGAATTCGAGCAGCTGTTGCAATTCCATGTTGCTACCTATATGGACAACGATATCGCTGGTCAGCCCCAAGCCCTGCAAAAGTCTGGACGTCCTGTCAAGTCCATACGTGCTCGTCTCAAGGGCAAGGAAGGTCGTCTACGGGGGAATCTCATGGGAAAGCGCGTTGATTTCTCCGCTCGTACCGTTATCACAGGAGACCCGAATCTCTCTCTTGACGAAGTAGGTGTGCCGAGAAGCATCGCAAGAACACTTACATACCCTGAGACCGTGACTCCTTACAACATTCAAAAGCTACACCAGCTTGTCAAAAACGGACCAAACGAGCACCCAGGTGCGAAGTACGTGATTCGTGATACAGGGGAGCGGATAGATCTGCGTCACCATAAACGAGCCGGAGAAATCTCCCTACAGTACGGGTGGAAAGTTGAGCGACACATTGTGGATGGTGACTATATCATTTTCAACCGACAACCTTCGCTGCATAAGGAGTCAATGATGGGGCATCGCGTACGGGTCATGCCTTATTCCACATTTCGCCTGAATCTCTCCGTCACCTCTCCCTATAACGCTGATTTCGACGGAGACGAGATGAATTTGCACGTACCTCAGAGCGAAGAGACACGCGCAGAAATCAACCAGCTCTGCATGGTTCCGTTGAATATTGTATCGCCTCAACGAAATGGACCGCTGATGGGCATCGTGCAAGACACATTGTGTGGTATCTACAAGATGTGTCGACGAGATGTATTCTTGACCAAGGAACAAGTCATGAACATACTGCTCTGGGTTCCAGACTGGGATGGTGTGATCCCTCAGCCTGCCATTGTCAAGCCGCTGGCGAAGTGGACTGGCAAGCAGATCTTGAGTCTGGTCATCCCAACAGGCTTAAATCTTCTGCGAGGAAGCGAGGAAGGATTCTCGCCGCTCAACGACGATGGACTGTTGATATCTGGCGGCGAACTGATGTATGGTCTCCTCAACAAGAAAACCGTTGGTGCTTCAGGGGGTGGGGTTATCCACATCGTTTTCAACGAGAAAGGTCCCGAGGCTGCCATGATCTTCTTCAATGGAGCTCAGACGGTTGTCAACTATTGGCTACTGCATAACGGATTCAGTATTGGCATCGGCGATACCATACCAGATCGCCATACTATACAGCAGATCGAGAATGCGGTCAATAATCAAAAGGCGGAAGTATTGGAGATCACTCGGAGCGCAACTGAAAACGAGCTTGAGTCTCTTCCAGGTATGAATGTTCGAGAGACGTTCGAAAGCAAGGTCTCAAAAGCACTGAACAAAGCTCGTGACGACGCCGGCACCGTAACTGAAAAGAGCCTCAAGGATCTCAACAATGCCACTCAAATGGCTCGCTCTGGATCTAAAGGCTCAACTATCAACATCTCTCAGATGACAGCTGTGGTAGGTCAGCAGTCTGTCGAGGGCAAGCGGATACCTTTTGGGTTCAAATACCGGACTTTGCCTCATTTTACAAAGGATGATTACTCACCAGAATCGAGAGGGTTCGTCGAGAACTCGTACTTGCGAGGCTTGACCCCGACGGAATTCTTCTTCCATGCCATGGCTGGTCGTGAGGGCCTTATTGATACAGCCGTGAAGACAGCCGAGACGGGTTACATTCAGCGCCGTTTGGTCAAGGCATTGGAAGATGTTATGGCTAAATACGATGGCACTGTACGCAATTCTCTTGGCGACATTGTCCAATTCGTCTATGGTGAGGATGGCCTCGACGGTGTCCACATCGAACAGCAACGTGTTGATATCATCGCATGCTCGACCAAGCAATTTGAGCGGAAGTTTCGGGTTGACCTCATGGACTCGAAGCCGGAAACAAGCATCTCTCCAGAATTTTTAGAGCAAGCCAATGAGATGATCGGAGACGTTGAGACACAGAAACACCTCGATAACGAGTACCGACAGCTTGAGAAGGACCGCGCTGAATTGCGCAAGAACAGGCAAGATGACACTGAGAATCTGCAACTTCCTCTCAATGTCATTCGCATGTTGGAAACGGCGAAAACGACATTCAAGATCAAGAATGGCGCACGAAGCAATCTGCATCCGGCGGAGGTCATTCCACAAGTTCAAGATCTACTCGATCGGCTCGTCGTCGTTCGAGGCACCGATAGACTTTCCGAAGAAGCTCAGCATAACGCGACCTTGCTTTTCAAAATACAGCTTCGTTCGCGTTTAGCCTTCAAACGTCTGGTCATGGAGAATTCTCTCAACAAGCTCGCATTTCAGCACGTACTAGGTGAGATTGAGAGTCGTTTCTGCCGCGCTGCTGTCAACCCTGGCGAGATGGTTGGAGTCTTGGCCGCACAGTCGATTGGAGAGCCTGCTACCCAAATGACTTTAAATACCTTCCATTTTGCCGGTGTTTCCTCCAAGAACGTCACGTTGGGCGTGCCTCGTCTGAAGGAGATTTTAAACGTGGCCACGAATATCAAGACTCCATCAATGACGGTCTATCAGGAGGAGGGAATGACAGGAAACCAAGAGAGCGCGAAACTGCTTCGAAGTGCTGTGGAACATACAACTCTCCGCTCTGTCACCGAAACTACTGAGGTATACTACGATCCGGACATTCAATCAACGGTCATTGAAGCAGACCGTGACATGGTGGAGTCTTATTTCATCTTGCCCGGAGGCGATGTTGAAGACCAATTTCGACAATCACGTTGGCTTCTTCGGATTATACTTGGCCGTCGCGCTCTGCTTGATAAGGGTTTGACCGTTCAAGACGTTGCTGCCAAGATTAAGGAGAATTACGCTAAAGATCTTGCCGTCATTTTCAGTGATGACAATGCTGATGAACAGGTGGTTCGAATCCGCATGATCCAAGACCATGGCAAAGGAGACGAGGACGACGATCTTGAAGAAGATCTGATGCTCAAACGACTCGAAAACCACATGCTTGACACGCTCACTTTACGAGGCGTTCCTGGTATCGAGCGAGCGTTTCTCAACACGCGCATGAAGATTCGTACGACAGAGGACGGATCTATGGTTAGCTCCAAAGATGATCCTCTCTGCAAAGAATGGTTCCTGGACACCAGTGGCTCGTCTCTCGCCGAAGTTCTGACCATACCTGGTGTTGATACGAAGCGTACATATTCGAACTCTTTCATCGAAGTCTTCGAAGTCTTCGGTATTGAGGCCTCCAGATCAGCTCTCATGCGCGAATTGACTCAAGTGTTGGCTTTTGACGGTTCATACGTCAACCATCGCCATTTGGCACTACTTGTCGATGTGATGACTGCTCGGGGTTCTCTCATGGCCATTACTCGCCATGGTATAAACAGGGCTGATACAGGTGCATTGATGAGATGTTCTTTCGAAGAGACGGTTGAGATTCTCTACGAGGCTGCCGCCTGCGGGGAGCTCGATGACTGTCGAGGTGTTTCCGAGAACGTCATGCTTGGACAATTGGCTCCACTTGGGACAGGAGAGCTGGAGGTTTTCCTAGATCAGGTAAAGTTTCTCATTCAGATGCCTGTTTTCTCGTTGCTGACATTTTACTTCAAGCACATGCTTGACACGGTCATCAGTGACAATGCACGACTGGGCATCATGCCTAATATCGGTGTCAAAGGCAACGTCATGGCAGATGGGGCCGCTACGCCATACGACAGTGGCTCACCTATGCAAGACGGAAGTGGATACCTAGGAAGCCCCGATTATGGCGCGGCATTCTCACCGATTGTTCAGTCTGGCGGCGCTACCCCTGGCGGATTTACTGAATACCAGCCTCAGGGTTTCGGTGGTGGCTTGTCTCCATACAGTAGCAGAAGTCCAGGTGGCTATAGCCCAAGTGTAAGTCCCGTCTAGTCAGTCTATAATGAATCATCCGAGCTTGCTGACGCCTCGCATAGTCTCCGTTCAACACTTCGCCCACAAGTCCTTTTGGTGCCTCGCCGTCGTCCCCAGGGTTCTACAGTCCGACGGTACGTTGTTCCAATTGGAACATGCAATGAGATGCTGTTGCTAATCTTCTCTCATCCAGAGCCCGTCAGGAGCTTTTGCATCCAGTCCGAAGTTCTCGCCTGCCTCGGTATGTTTCAATACTCCACATCTCTCTGCTCTTGCTGACCATCTAAAGCCGGCCTACGCCGCCTCACCCGCGTTTACTCCCACAAGTCCTTCCTACTCGCCTTCAAGCCCTGCTTATGGTCTTGGCGTCTCTCCGACCAGCCCCAGCTACAGCCCAACGAGTCCCTCATACAGCCCGACGAGTCCCTCATACAGCCCGACAAGTCCATCATATTCTCCCTCTTCGCCGGCATTTGGCAAGGCCTCTGGAATCTCGCCCACCAGCCCAGTATACAGCCCGACAAGTCCCTCATACTCCCCTTCGAGCCCCAACTACAATCCTCAAGCTGCCGGCAAGCAACAAAGCCCTACGAGCCCGGTTTATAGCCCTACTAGTCCAATGGGCTACTCACCTTCGAGTCCTCAATTCACCCCTGGATCAGATCCAAGGTCCATCAGTCCATCTTCAAGTTCACCGAAGTGGACGCCTACTGTAAGACTTCTCCCTTATGACATCCGATAGTCTACGCTTGCTAACTTTAATTTTGCAGAGTCCAACGTTTAGCCCAGAGCAGTAGTAACGGTTATGATTCGCTCTCACGGTCAACAGATCTTTGGAGCTTCTTAAACACAGTAGCTTTGGCTACTCATGAACTTCTATTACATTCCTGCATTTCCACGTATCAACTCCTCGTTGTCGAGGTGGATGCTGTAGGACGTTTCGAGTTCTAGTCGGAGAGAGCAAGCACGGATGGCGTTTGGTGTTAACAATCTCCAAGCTCACACAGAGCAAAAGTCTATCCTGCGAAGTTCAAAACAGAATGTGCTTGCGAGACTCTCTCGAAAGGAACTTCTAGGGTTGGCGTTCCAGATACTAGTCGGTGGCTTCAGCGTGGCTGGGCACTCCCGGCGTTACAATATTTGTAAAATAGAGCAGATAAACAAGGAATCATAATTAGCCTTGTGTACGGTTGTGACTTATTCTATCGGCAGACAGTAATCTCTAAATCACGAATCCGTTGATCCTCTGCCCTAAATTTCAACCTTTACCATTCTGCACTGTCTCCGAGCTATACTCCGTGCATTGATATGGCAAACTCGAAATATGAGTACGTCAAAACGTTTGAACAGTCGACTACGTTGCTTCCAGACACCTACATGACTGTACGGATTGATGGGCGTGGATTTCATAAGTTGGTACCCGATCTCTGCTCGATATCTCCTGCGCAACTCATATCTCCAGACTTTCAGCAAAGTACAAATTCGAGAAACCCAATGATCGCCATGCATTGGAGTTGATGAACGCCGCAGCCACGGCGATGATGAAAGAGTTGCCAGACATTGATTGCGCCTATGGCGAAAGCGATGAGTTTAGGTATGATGCCGGCTCATGGATGATTTCTCTCGCGCTGATTGTCGACTTAGCTTCATATTCGACCGATCAAGCCGACTGTTCGAAAGGCGAGAGAGGTAAGTGGGTTATTTCTCGTGATGAAGAGAAACGAATCTTAATATTTGTTCTCAGCAAAATTCTCACTACGGTGGTGTCCACTTTTACATCGTATTATATTCATCTTTGGTCCGATTTCTTCGCAGACAAGCCGTTGTCGCCTCCCATGCCAACATTTGATGGGAGAGTGGTGCTTTACCCGTCCTCCTCGACTTTGCGGGACTACATGAGTTGGAGGCAAGTGGATTGTACGTCCTTCTGCCCTGCGTGCAATAGAAGGGGAAGCTCAAGTATTTCCCAGGTCATATAAACAATCTTTACAATACTACGTTCTGGGCTTTGGTGCAAAACGGCGGCATGGATGCCACTCAAGCAGAGGAGAGGCTGAAAGTATTCTGCTTCAATGGTGTAAGCATGGTGGGCTTTTAGCTGATCTTGACGCAGGGCACAATGGCATCAGAGAAGAACGAGATCTTGTTTTGCGAATTCAAGATGAACTACAATAACGAAGCAGACATGTTTAAGAAAGGCAGCATCATCTACCGTGATGTATGCTAAGACAGCGCTCCCTTAATCCAAGAGGCTGCTGATGCCGTACAGTGTGATACTTCCAGCTCTGACAGCCAGGAGGCCCATGCGCCTGCTGTGTTCAACAGCGAGCAATCCGAGATGTCCAAGACTGCAAAGAAAAAGGAGCGAAGACGACGTGCGCAAGCCAGTATTACAATAGAGCACACAGATATCATCAGAAATGAGTTTTGGGACCAGAGACCTTGGCTACTTTCAGGGCCATCTCAATAGCTAAAACACCCGATAATGTGCCTTCCAAAATCAATGACTCAGGCCGCGGAGATCGCAATTCTGAGTCGAACAACCAGTCAACGTCCACTGGCAAGCCTCAACCTTCTCCAAATCAACGCAATTTCGTATAAGAACGGTCTGTGCGGCCCATACTAAGATATCCACGATTCCACGGCGAGGATTCTGCTGTTCACCCTAGAGCTTGGAGTCTTAGACTGGCTCAATTAGCTTACAGCATCACCAGTCTACATCCCCTAAGAATCAAGCCCCCTGCGCCAATGGTGTTTCAGTGGTCTCCTTTGCCGTTTTCGAAATCTAGGTAGGCGCTTGCAGGACTTCGCCCGCCAGATATTTGTTGAATTATGCTGTTTTTCAGTGCAAGACCATTCCTCGATTTGTCAAGGCGCGGAATTTTTGTAATTGTCATTGGGGCATCCAAGATGCTCGCTACTGCAGATGTTCCGTTTGTTCCTCGGCAATGCAATACCACGAGACTGAACGAAATGCTCCATTCAGGAGGTGCACTGAGTATCTGCCGCTCGTCGTCGCTTCCCGCTTTTGCCCTTTCTCTTCACATCCTGCGACGCATTGCGAGGCCTCGTTGCAACGGGTTCTGCATCCTCGGCTTTGTGCAGCTGTTCCTTGCTTCGCCTCTTGGGTCTGTCTGACGTCGAAATATCATTGCTAGCAGTTGACCAAGGCTGTTCTGGCAGCTCACGGCTCTGACCAGCTTCCAGAGCTCTCCTAGCCTTTTTTTCTCTCTTTCGTTGCCGTCGTTGTTCGTTGGTCTCCGTATCTTTCGGTCTCTCCCGTAGCTTTTGGTATTCTTCCTCTCTCCCAACATCCTTGGGATCTTGTTGAACTGCATCAACAGCTACCAATTTGGAAAATTCAGCAATGTCTTCCGCCTCTTGGTGCCGTCGCTTTCTCTTGCTCCTTTTAACATCCTTCACCGCAGCCGCAGTGAGATCCACATCGTTGCTGCCCCTCTCCTGTTTCCTCTGGTCCTCTGACTGTGACTGTGTCTCCCGGTGATCGTTCTCTTCAGGTGTCAAAGTACCATTCAAACTCTCTCCTCTCACAAAATTGCTGTAGAGACCGCCCTGCCCAACCCACTTCGCCCCTCCAACCCCCACCATTTGCAGCGCTTGGGCACCAGAGCCAAACGCTATTCCTTCCGTCTTCCCCGTTGCCTCATTCTTCGTATTATTCAGCCCCTTCAGCGTATCATCAAAGGCTCTCGCCCACCATTGATCGGCGTGGGCATCATGCTGTTTCTTCCCAACGCCGAGGACATTCGCCTTTTGGGATATATGAATGGGCTTTGTAATTCCTCGGCCTGAATGATGAAGTGCATGGCCATCACCTCGCCAGCCTTGATTTGTCAAGTAGGCTGCGGCGTCCATCCTCTAGCAAGGACGTGGGCACATTCTTTGCACAATCCATGATCTTAGTGCGTCGCAAATTACAGGATTTTTTATATTTTATCTCCGTTTGACTATTTCCGGAGCGAGAGCCTTTATCCTCTTTGACTATTTGAGATTCCGAAAGTGAACGGTCGAAGATTATGGGAACGGTCATTTATAGAATTGACTGATCTCTTCCTGCAAGCAGATTTTCTATTCTCCTACTTTACAGCATACAAGCGAGTCAGAGCATGGCTTGGCTCTCATTGGTAAGATGGTTGCCGCTAATCATCATCATCTCCCAACTCGCTGCCCCTCTCGATTAAATCGCTCGCAGAATAATCGCCCTTTCGACTCTTCCGTCGAATGTTCGGCCATGAGATACTAGAACGGCTGCTCTTATCCTGCTGTGGTGTACTACCGGCACTTTCGACGCTCTTTCCTAGAAGCTCCTCATTGTTTGCCAACTCGTCGATCTCTCCCGGCGTTGAAGGTAGGTCTCGCTTTTTGCCCCAAGGTACGTTAAACTTGCTGGAGCTACTTTTGCGGGTGATTTTCTGCATCAACGTCTCCTTGGGTCCGGAAGGGGTCACCGCTTCAGAGGGAGTCCCAGACGTAGAACGATCAAAAGAGTCGTGAGAATCTGCAGTTGAAGTTGCTGTGGTGATGGATTGAGCATCTCGGGACAGTCTTGGGTTTTGAGGCGAAGAGTCAAGGACGGAATCGAATTCGTCGGTTTCTCCCTTCTCCCCCTCCTTATCCTTGGGCTTTTCCGTATTCTTGCTGCCAGTCCTTTCACCTTTCGTCGTTTTCTTAGTGTCTCCCCGAGTGAAGAGCGTCTTGAAGCTTGGTGCAGCAGGATTCAATCTAGGAGTGACGGGTCGTTGAGAGGACTGCGGGCGTGTGCCGATGGGAGCTTGCTCAGAACTCTGCTTTGAGAATGATCCAGCATATCCTTCAGGATCGAGGGGAGTACTACCAATAGAGAGGTTACTAGTCGAGCCATGTTGCACCGAGGGACGGCGCGATGGAGCGCGCGACCACGGCCCGCTGCCTGTAGACCAATTCACGCCCAAGGGGCTGCTGCGGGTTGGAAGGCTGTCCGGTACTGCCCATCCTAGGCGTTGACTATCGCTCGACGGCCTCGAGAGGATCTGATCATAAGAGTAAGTGGAAGAAGGTCTGGAAGAAGATGGTTGATCTGCAAAAGCCGTGGTTTCTAACCCGTCAAACTTCGAACCGAACATGTTTAGTCGACTTCTGCGGCCGGACCCGGTGCGAGCGGTAATAAGCCCAGAATCCTCTGGATTGCCTGTGTTTCGATTCAAAAGTCCTGCCATTGGGTTGGCCCAATTACCATGGCTTCCTCTCCTTCGCCGACTCCCACCAGGATCGAGGTGGTCTTGCTCTAAGTTCCTCGGAAAAGACTGACTCTGCCCTTGCTTTAGTGTACCTAGAAGCGGAGGTTCTTGTGTGCTAGGCTTTGCCCTCTGCCGATTGAAAGTTGAAGAGAAAAGATTGGCGAGCCTACTGGTGACTAAAGGATTGGAGTCTGCAGCTATTGAGGACTGGAAAGGCGCACTCGTCGGATTGACCAGGTGACTGTCCCCTTCCATAAATGGGTCTGGGCGCGTTTGATAGCCATGCAAGTTGTGCAGACTGTCATGCGGACTTGAAAAGAGACTCCCTGCTCGACTGCCTGCAGATACAGGTGTATGAGGCCCATGGGTCGATGCATCTGGGTTTGATACGGCATGCCCAAGAAAAAGGTCCGGATTTGCAGTACCCAAGGGCTCCTGACCAGCGGTATCAGTGAAGCGCTGGGCAATGGCATCGTCATCCCGGAAAAGATTGGAAGGAAGAAGACTATTTGCAGCCGGGCTCATCGGACCTCCGCCAGTCAACATCTCGGCGTCAGTCCGTGACAAGCCTGTCCGCTCCGACCCCGAAGGGACAGTCATCCCGTTACTCATGTTGAAGAACGGTGATGTCGCTGCAAATGGTGGGGAGATGGCAGCGCCGTTATGGAATGAGACGAGGCCGCTCTGGTAGTTAGCTGGGGGAGAAGACATCGTGCTGGCGCGTGAATTGTTTTGTCGATTTCTCCGTGACCTGCTACGTTGAATCGAAGAAGCTAGTTCCAGAGACGGAGTTGCGGCGAACTGCTCCGGATTTCTTGCTCGCTTGGTGAGCCACCAGTTTAAGTGCTCCTCAGCCTGCTGCTTCTCTAATTCGGCATGTTGGACGGCCTGCCAGAACGATCCCAATTGGGCTTGGATCGCCTGAACCTTTGTCTCCCACTCTTGATCGTTCTCTCTCTCGGACATAGAGCGCTCATGTTCCTCGCTTCCATCGTTGCTCAGTTTGTCTCTATCTTTCTCCATTGCCTTGATTTGGACGCCTTTAATACGGATTTCTTCCTCCAACGATTTGATAACAGCAACATCTTCGGCTATGCGTTTTCGTATGTCTGCAACCTCTTTGTCCTTGGCAGCAATGACATCGGCCTTTTCTCTCTCCATATCCTCTGTGTCTTGCTTCATCTCAATCGTTTCTCTTTCCCATCTTGCGGTGTCATCCCTGAGTTTCTGCCTATCCGCTTTCTTCTGTTGCAATTGCTTTTCTTTTGCAGCTTTTTTGCTTTGTGCTGTTCTATTCAGCTTGTCCAAATGGTTGCCGTGCCTCCGGAGTTCCGAGCTTGCTTCTTCTTTCTCTTTAAGGATCTGCTTCAGACCATCTTTCTCCTTGGCTAGCTCTGCCAAATACCGTTTAGATTCGTGTTCTTCTTCATATGTTTCCCTGTCTGTTCTTTGGACCTCATTTCTCAGGAAATCAAGCCTCTCTATCAGGCGTTTGATAGTCTCTGGAGATTCGTCCTCATCGCTGCCCTCTGTCTGGATAATTTGTCCACTGAGCTGTTCACCGCCAGAAGTGGCTGGTGAGTTTCGACGTCCTGACACTGTTCTCTTTGTCTGATGCTGGGCACCACTGAAGTCCCGGACAGTAGGAGATGGGAGGGCCGCTTCGAATGGCGCAGATGTAGCACGAACAGCGGCAGGCTCAGTGTCGCCGGCAGGATCGCTCGGAATGCTAGCGGCCTGTGTACTGGACTTAAGCGAGGGAGTGGTACGTAAACGTATGAGAGGTCCAAGCGACGTGAATTTCGCCGCGTTCGTTGCAAGGACTCTTATGTTGTAGTAGTTGCCGGGCTTTAGACCGGTTATCTGGATCGAAGTGTCCCCTCGACCGAATTCGCCAACTTTGAGCGCCACAGATTAGCATCGCTGGAGAAAGCATGGCGATTCCCAGAGAGAATCCGTACCTTTGATTCCATTAACCTCTATGGTGTGCATTAGGGATGCAGCCTGATTGTCCGGAGGCTTCCAATATAGTAGAACCGACTCAGATGTGATACCAGCCAAGGAAACTTCAGGTATGGGAGGAATGTCCAAACCCAGGAGCTCTTGAAGTTCTTCCACAGGCTTCTGATTGATCTGCCAAAGGCGATAGAGAATCCTACAGCAAACTTAGCATCTCATGCATGGAAAGAAAGGAATAGCCGGGTAATGATGACTGACCATGCAAGTGCGCATATGAATGCAGCATCCTGGAACATAAAGAAAGCCATGGACAGGTGTGGGGAGGCGAGCCTGGGTGATACCATGGACGCCCATTGCTCTAGGGCCGCATCCCATTGTAGGAAAAGCATGGACTGCACGTCTAAACCCTGGGACAATGCAAGGATCAAAAGGCAAAAGTAACCTGAGTAGCACGAAATAAGGAGTGCCCAGTATACTTGGCAAACGATAGGCTGTCTGAGCTTTGGTGTACCTATTGCTTGATTTTCGACGTGTTCGTCTTCCACAAGTTCTGCTTCAGCCTGTTTAGCCTTATTCTTGGCTGTACCGGGCCGTCCCGTCCGCCTCTTAGCCATAATCCAACGGTCGATCAGTCAAGCTTTCATATGAGGCTTAGCGGGATTACTGTAAAAGTATGGTAGATGATGACTTGCAAGCTTTCATGTGATGTGACATTTAGCACGAGCCTTAGACAGGTCTGAAATGGAAGTATGATTTCGCGCACAGAGTCAGGCTTCGATCCATATCCTAGAAATGTGATCCACAAAACATCAGCTCTTCTTTCCTGCACATGAGGAATTGTCTTGTTGCGGAATTGAAGCCCGTTGATAACGACTGATATTTGGATTGTTTACAAAATCTGCTGTCGTTTGGGGAGATGCAGTATGTGAGGAGTATCGGGGGTTCAGTATCCAAAACATGGAATTCCATTAATCCAGCGACACTTAGCGGTGCTATCGATGTTATCGTTGTTGAGCAGGAAGACGGTACAGACAGATCTTACAACCACGCTTTACTTCTATAATTGACCATGCCGATTAGGATCACTAGCATGCTCACCGTTCCATGTCCGCTTTGGAAAATTTTCACTACTGAGGCCGTATGAAAAGAAAGTGTGCTACTCTCCCATCTGGCGCCTGGGGCTCGGCTTACTAGGCAATCAATCTAGGTTGAGTTCAAGGTCAACAATGCCAAGCAAGACCATTCTATGAAGCTTGGAGAAGGCGGAGAAGCCTTCTTCGTATTCGAGACTTCTGACGAAATCCCAGAGAGCCTGCAAACATCGCCCGTTATTTCACCAGCAACGAGTCCGCAAAGTCTATTAGAGCAGGATGTCACCTCGGTCCCTACATTACAGGAGCCGGAGTTCCTAGATCTAAATATGGATGGGATTAACGATCGAAGACGGGACACGGTTGGACGAGCGAGGCCAATCTTGTCTGATGCTTCGAGAGCCAAGAGTGATTTTGGTAGGCACTATCTGATCCCACTGGTGTGCAGGAGTAACGCCAGATACAGGTGCGCTTACTCCGCTATCTACTAGCCCTGGGGCAGCTTCGGACGATGTTGGAAGGAGAGATTGGTCGGCTTCCAAGACTACGTCTTCTCCACACATCAAGCGCGCTGCTTCGGCGGAGTTTGTACAAACGTCCACACGTCCACAAAGCGAGATCCACGGCGATCGTACACACATTCAGGCGCATGGAGGCGGGTTGGGTCTCGACAATGGACCCAGCCTGGCAACGTCTGCTCCTACAGAACGCTCCATCAGTCCACCGCCTCTCTCTTCGAACGATGCATTCAACCGAGCAAAACTGCTGTCAAAGAAATTGTCGATTTCTAATATTCCTACCCGCGTCACGGACAACGGAGATTTGATGCTTGATATGACCGGCTACAAAAGCAGTGAGGACGAAGCTCTTCGAGCAGAGGTAATAGCACGCAAGATACTGGCCGAGGAATTGGAAGGGAACTACGACATCGGCGCTCTGATAGGTGCCGATGAGCAGGGCAACCTATGGATATATAGTAGCGAGGAGGCCAAAGAGGCTGCTGGACGTAGAATTGGACTTCAAGGTCTGGCCCCAGGTGCAGTGTTCAATGATGCAGCATCAGATCCCGGTTATCACAGCGACGACGAAAGACTACCTACGACCTCCCAGATTTCAAGCAAGCACCATCGGACCAAATCAGATGCCACCCCAACTGGGCTTGTGACACCACCACATACGCCTCCAGCCGAGGAACCCGGCAGTGGGGATCCCAACAGGAACTACGCGAAAACCCTACGACTCACCAGTGATCAGTTGAAAGCTCTGAACTTGAAGCCAGGGGAGAATTCTATGAGTTTCAGTGTCAACCGCGCTACGTGTCAGGCCTCTATGTACTATTGGAAGTACGATGTGCCAATTGTCATATCAGACATTGACGGCACAATTACAAAGTAAGTTGTGCGGCTCATACCCAACACTGCGGAACTAAACATCAGCTGTGCAGATCCGATGCTCTCGGTCATGTGTTGAATATGATTGGCCGTGACTGGACCCACATAGGTGTTGCAAAGCTATACGCGGACATTGTGGCAAATGGATATAATATCCTATATCTAACCAGCAGATCTGTTGGGCAAGCAGATACGACTCGGAGCTATCTGAACGGGGTCTCTCAGGAGGGGTTCAAACTACCCAAAGGCCCAGTGATCATGAGTCCTGATCGAACAATCGCTGCATTGAGGCGCGAGATATATCTTCGTAAACCAGAAGTGTTTAAAATGGCCTGTCTCCGCGATATTTTGAATCTCTTTGGCCAAGAGAGGAAACCATTTTATGCCGGGTTTGGGAACCGATTGACAGACGCTTTGAGCTACAGATCAGTCAACATTCCGTCGACACGAATCTTCACGATCAATTCGAACGCGGAGGTCTCTCTTGATCTTCTCACTCTGAACAAATACAAAAGCAGCTATGTTACCATGCGAGAGGTTGTGGACCACTTTTTTCCCACTGTAAGTTTACTTACGAATGGTGGTGCGGAAAAGGAAACGGATTTCGTTTTCTGGAGGGACGTGCCTGAGGAAATTGACTATTTGTCGGAAAGTGACTCTGAGGTTGAAAAACAAATGAGAAAAGAGAGGGAAAGTATAAGGAGTGAAGACTATGGAAGCGAAGGTCTCGATGATGATGATGATGTTGACGAGGAGGATGAAGAAGAGGAACTAGATGGCTTGGGGGAAAGCTATTTGTCCAGGGATTCGATTGATGAAGGAGAGGGAGAAGACTTGGTTTCCTCAATAATCGGAAGCATCTCACTTAACGATGACGGAAACGATGGTGTACCTGATGCGGTAGAAGTTGAGATTGCTGACTCTGATGGAAGATCGTCGAAGGCTGATCTCAAAAAGATCACAGCAGCTGAAGTCACACGCTCTGCTACCGGGGCGGCAGAAGACGAATGAACATCGAGCTAGGTACAGGAATGATAAGGTCAGAATTGGAGCTACCGATGCAAGCAAGGCGCTGGAAGTAGTTGGTGTATTGGGAAAAGCTCTTGCATATGTGGGGTTTCACGCATTATGGCTGCATTGGAGCGGCATTGGATGGCGCTTTTGACGAGGGTCATGGTCCTGAAGCCTGCTGAACAATCCTTTTGTTATGGAGTACAGCGTCCAAGGGAGACGTTTCAACACTCTTTCTGTACAATTTTGTAAGGTACTGAGGCGGAGGACAAGTAGCAGGTGATTTGGCAAAGTGCTCTGACACATTGAGAATTCAAGCACTGAAGAACTGACGCTGACTCATCTGGCTTGATACCTATTTACCCAGAGATGAAGCGGTTGTTCTCTCAACTTGCTTGAAGTAAGGTAGTAGTGGTACTCTACACGATGAAACGATGAGACCATTTTACCCAAGTCCTGTCTCGGTAGACCTGCCTCAAGCACCTTAATTTCATTTTCGCCGAGGCACTTCGACGTATATTCATCTACCACCTCTAGCTCGCTACAATCTGCAGACTGCGCTGTGCGCTCATCATGGCGGAAGCCAATGGCGCTGTTCCAGATGCCAATCCAGCAGCTAATCAATCGTCTAGTCAAGATGAACCTACAGCGGCGGATCTGATTAACCCCAGCTTTACCACAAACTCTCCGGTGGACAATGGCCAATCAAAGAGACCTCGAGATGCCCGACTCATACACCTTGTTCTTTCAAACTACGGTGTGAATGCCTATCAAGAACGAGTCCCTCTCCAGCTTATGGATTTTGCCTACCGCTATACATCTTCGACATTACAGTAAGTATTCTCTGAGAGCTCCAATCACCACTATATGTTAACAACTGATCCCAGGGATGCCCTTCATTTCGTCAGCGAAGGTTATGGGACCTCGGGTTCTGGCACAGGTTCTGGTAAAGCTGCGGCACAAAATGAGTTGAGCTCCGTCACATTGTCAGCACTCCGATTGAGCATAGCCAGTCGTACACACTATCAACTCAACCCTACATTGCCAAAGGAGTTCTACAATGAGATTGCGCAAGAAAAAAACCGCGTGGCGTTACCGCCAGTTTCTAAAGACTGGGGCATGAGGCTGCCGCCAGAGCAATATTGCCTAACGGGTGCTGCTTGGAATTTGCGCGAAGAATGGGATGAGGAGGACGATGAGATGGAAGATGCAATAAAAGAGGAAAGAATGGAAGACGTCGACGGTGAAGGCGCCGAGGGCGATGATGGCGGAGATGAGGAAGGCGGTGGCAGGATGGAGGACATCTTCGGAGACGGCAACAATGCAGAAGCGGGCGGAGACATGGAGCCATAAAGCTCAACAGTGAATTTGTCTCCTTTGCGCAAGCGGTTTAGCGGTGCATTGGAAGGCGTTCTTGAGGCTCGAGGCCTGGTAAGGATTAGGGATTTGCAGACAGCAGATGGACCCAAAGGCAGAGAAATGCCTTCTTAACTAAGTAACAGTAACAGTGTCATTGCCAACCAATGTCCTGCCTCCCGCGTCGGTTGCTCAAAAGTCGTAAATGCCTGCACCCAATTTGTTGATACACATATTCTAATAGATGCCAGCGATGCCTACTCAGTCCTTCTCGGCCTTATCTTCCTCGTTTTGACCTGAAGACTTCGGGATATCCCACCATTCCTTGAAGAACTTCTCAGCCTCCACCTTTTGACGCCTTTTTTCTTCCATTTCAAGTCGCCGCAAGTCCATGTTGGCGAACCACTCCTCTCTTGCCGCATCCTGCTCCTTTTGTGATGCATATTGAATCATGCACGAATTCATCGCCAGGCGCTGTTTCCGACATGCCCAGGTTGCAGAAATAGTGCGGTTGGTAGCACATGATGCGAAGTCTAGGCGTTGGATTAGAAAAACGGCCACAAAGTAGAAGGAATAGATATCTTACGTACCCCGTATCTCATTGGCACAATGACCTCGGACTTTCTTATAATAGAGATCTCTTACCTGAGATTCCTGGGCTGCAGAAAGCGGGAGAGGATTTCGGGAGGGGACAGGACTTGATTGGAGAGATTCGGGTTTGGGTCTGGCCATCATGATTGCAGGTCACGGAAGCCGAGCGTGTTGGGTATGATCAACCGAGTAGTATTGCTGTTGCACGCGAGTTATGAGTATATACTTCATGTTGAGCGTGACGTAGAAAGCAAATGAGTTGGGAAGCGCTCCTGTTCATGCTTTCACATACCTATCATGAATATTACGCTAGCTGTGTATTTTATCTCCCAGCTAGTTTAGTACCGAACAATTTTTTTATCCAACAAACAAACGAACGCTGTCGTTTGTATAAGAGCTTCATCTTCTGGTTTGGTTTTTGTGGAGGAAGAGATATCCATGGCAGAACATTATCTGGTGTCTATTGACATCAAGAATCTTCCTTCTTCTGAAGACAATGGCCTTGCTTTGAATACAATCTCTTACCTGCACCGAGTTCATATTACCGCTACGCCGGAAACGCAGCAAGATGCAATCACTTTCCTTCACAAGAATTTCAATCTTTACACCATCTATTGCGATTGTACAGCCTTAGAGTCTTTAGAAGACATTCTATCCTTACTGAACAATGGCGGCGCTAAGGTTTTCGTAACGTCCTTGCAGATGAAAGCAATAGTCGAAGATCGTCTCCTTGTAGGCCAGGATCTCGGTCGTCTTGTCATTTCTTTTGACCGTTCGGAATCTGATGGTGAACCGGAAGAAACCGCCAAGAACATCCTTAGCAAAGTCGAGGCTTCTATTCCAGACACACCCATTGGCATCCAGATCCAAGGAGTCCATGATTGGAAGCTGCTAGATACGATGAACCGGATGTCCAAGACCGGGTATTACCCTGGTCGATACGTGACTTTGACCCACAACATCCAAAGTGATTATATCAGGGCAGTTAAGGATGGTCATGTGGCTATCATTCCTGCGAGTGGGCTTACAACAGATCCCAAGAAGTACCCAGATCTTGTGCCAGCTCACGTTTTGATCACTTCCGCAATCCGTAGCGATCGACCAGACGGATTGTTTCCCACGGTTGTTACTGACGAGAATGGGATTTGTCTGGGACTGGTATATAGCAATGAGAAAAGTATAGAAGTAGCGTTGCGAACAGGACGTGGTGTATACCACAGCCGCCGTCATGGCATATGGATCAAGGGTGAAGAGAGCGGAGATACCCAGGAGCTGATCAATATCTTCATGGACTGTGATGCAGATGCTCTGCAGTTCAACGTAAGACAACGTGGAGAAGGTATAGTAATTTAGCTCTCAATCATCTCCTATGTCACTCACACGAGATAGGCTTCTGCCACTTGAAGACCTCAACCTGTTTCGGCCCTTATTCTGGTGCCTCACGTCTCGAACAAACGCTAAAAAATCGCAAAGAATCAGCACCTGCGGGCTCTTATACTTCTAGACTATTCAGTGAACCTAAGCTTCTCGAAGCTAAGATCATGGAAGAAGCAAGCGAGCTATGTGAGGCAACCGACAAGAAGGATATTGCAGCTGAAGCTGGAGATCTACTCTATTTTGCTCTGACCAAGTGCGTTGCTGCAGGCGTCAGTATGGAAGACATTGAACATAACCTCGATCTGAAGAGTACAAAGATTACTAGAAGAAAAGGGGATGCTAAGCCTCAATGGGCCAAAAAGGTCGGCCATCTAGATAAAAGCAACGGCTCTGCAGGGGCCTTGAATGGAAATTCGGAACAGGAGATTCTCAAAGAGGCAGCGTCCGTCCCGAAAGAAAAGGATGATGCTGCAGGCCTCCAAAATAGAAGGATACGGATGAAACAATATAAGACTAGAGACACTGACGCCAAAATCATTAAGGACGCACTCCAACGTCCATCCCAAAGATCTACTGATGATATTATGGATATTGTCAAGCCTATCATCAAGGAGGTTCGTGAGGGCGGAGATACCGCCGTCTTGAGGTACACGCACAAATTCGAAAAAGCTACCTCTCTGACTTCACCGATTCTTCGTGCGCCGTTTCCGCAAAATCTGATGCAACTGCCCCAAGAGACCATCGACGCTATCAATGTCAGCTACGAGAACATTCGCCGTTTCCATGTGGCACAAATGGAGGAGAAGCCATTGCGTGTGGAGACCATGCCCGGCGTTGTCTGCTCGCGATTCTCTCGTCCAATAGAAAGGGTTGGCCTCTATGTGCCCGGCGGAACAGCAATTTTGCCCTCGACGGCGTTGATGCTCGGTGTTCCTGCCATGGCCGCAGGTTGCAAGAAGATCATTCTGGCCTCTCCCCCGCGCAGGGATGGCACGATCACACCTGAGATTGTCTATATCGCTCACAAGATTGGCGCTGAGAGCATTGTTCTTGCAGGAGGAGCACAAGCTATTGCAGCCCTCGCTTACGGGACAGAGACCATTTCCAAAGTTGACAAGATCCTTGGACCTGGTAATCAATTCGTGACCGCTGGAAAGATGGTTGTCTCCAATGATACCACGGCCCGCGTCAGTATCGATATGCCTGCTGGGCCGAGCGAGGTGTTAGTCATTGCAGACAAGTCGGCAAATCCTAAGTTTGTGGCTTCGGACCTCCTCAGTCAAGCAGAACATGGTATTGATTCGCAGGTCGTATTGATTGCCGTGGATCTATCGGAAGAGCAACTAGCTGCCCTTGAAGATGAATTGCACGCCCAAGCTATAGCCTTACCAAGAAAGGACATCGTGCGAGGAGCCATCGAGCATTCGGTGACACTGGTGGTCAAGGACATCACAGAGGCAATGGAATACAGCAATGATTACGCGCCAGAACACCTGATCCTGCAGGTCGAAAATGCCGAGTCCGTAATTTCTTCAGTTGATCATGCGGGAAGTGTTTTTGTGGGACCCTGGGCTCCTGAAAGTGTAGGAGATTACTCTGCAGGCACCAATCATTCTTTGCGTATGAATCCCAGCTACAAGCCCATTGCCAGTCACTCCGCTAACTCAATCACAAGCAACTTATGGCTACGCCAAACAGTACTCAGGAGTAAACCTTTCATCATTCACGAAGCATATAACCAGCTCCAATTTGACTCAAGAAGGATTGAAGAATGTCAGTAGTGCTGTCATGCAGTTGGCCAAGGTCGAAGAATTAGAGGCTCATCGGAGAGCAGTCAGTATACGGCTGCAAGAAATGGACGAGATCAAGGAGTGAGATACGTTGGGACAGTTGAAAGAAAAAGCCAAACGGGAAGCATTAGGGATCTTGCAGAGCATCAGTGGTGTCTCGGATATTACTTGGCATCGATCCAGAGCGGTCGTGGATAAATTTTCGAGACTTTCAAGGAAGTAGCCATGGAGGATTCGAAATATGAAAAGCTGGTAGCAATGCATCCCAATCATTTCAGAGTAGGAGGTAGAAATGCTTATTGACCCTCTATACATAGCTGAACAGCTTGAGGTCTGTGTCCTTACGGCACCTTTTCCCTTCCGGTCAATAGCACCATCTACGCAACACTGTGAGCGAGTTCGTGCCTTCATGTTAGCGCATAGGTTGCTCTAATGTTGGACAATTTGGCAACAGGTAGCTTCATCTGATGGGTTTTACGTCACAAGTACGAGGGATTTCGTACTGATATCTGTACAATGGCTGCGTGCAGGACTCTCGAAACATGGTCTACTAGAGCAACGCAGCCTTTAGGCATTGCGGCTCATGTCGTTCCTAATTCTGCGTATGGAGTCAGCATTAGAAAACTTAGCGGCGACTGACCTTTGCTCCCCAGAAGTGTCTCGCGACTCAGGCAGAGAGACTGGATGGAAGGAGACGGAAAATCAGTCCGGAATGTACGTACCGGTTGTAGTCCAACAAACCCTCAATACTCCCCACAGCGCTGATTGCCACATCTTGATCCCAAAGTTTCCTCCTCGCAAAAGACATGACATCCTTCTCGCTTATACTACCGACTACCCTCTCTACCTCCTCTGGGTCCATGCGGCGGCCTGTGGTGACGATCTGGCGGCCAATATCTTCCGCGACGGCTGTAGTGCCGTCAAGGGAGAGCAAGATGGAAGCTTTGAGCTGAGCCTTTGCTCGTTCGGTTTCGGCTTCAGTAACGTTGTAGGAAAGACGGGACCACTCTCGAAGGGTGAAATGGACAAGGTCGTCGATTTGAGTTTTGTTCTCCGTAACAAGGTATATGCCCCACAACCTAAAGATTTGGATCAGCAAAGCCCGGTGGAGGGAGGGCTGAGTAGTTTCATGGTTTACCCTGTATCACTGTAACTGGTAGAAAAGCTCATGAAGCTATTTGCCAACTTGTTCTCGTGGATGAAGGTACTGAGCTTGCTGCCAAGGTAGGGAGAATTACCCATTGCCCTATCCCAATTGCCGACGATTGCTTGCGTGACCAGCGCGGTAAAATAATCATCGTCTTTCCAGCTCACACCTTCAACTGCAATGGCGATGTTTGCTGTTGGGATAGTGTCGTCTCTCACTCGGACTTCAGAGCCAATGAAGTCAGGTATTTGCTTTTGAGCGGCAGCACTTGAGGCAGCTGCTCTAGTTGGTGGTTCCATTGGTATATTGGAGAAGTACTTCTCCGCAAGCTCCACCAACTGCTTGTGAGGGACACCACCAGCGCCGACCAGGACCATACGATCGGCAGTATAATTCTTCGTGATATAACCGACCAAGTCATCCCGCTGGATGCTCGCAATGTTCTCCTTTGGTCCCAGAATGGTCCGCCCTAAAGGTTGACCTTGGAAGGCGGTGGCATGCAAATGATCAAAGACGACTTCCTCGAGCTGCTTGTCGACCTCCTCTTGTTCTCGTAAAATCACATCACGTTCTCGCTCTATGGCTTGGGGCTCGAGTTTGGAGTTTTGCAAAATATCCGAGAGTATGTTGACTGTAGCAGAGACATCGGAGTTGAAGGACTTGGCATAGTAGACGGTATTTTCACGCTATATTGGAGTGTTAGTGCAGCTCCGACACATGGTGAAAAGTAACCCTTACAGAAGTGTACGCATTCAAGTGGCCTCCCATGTTTTCAATCTCAAGCTCCAATTGCTGCTGTGTTCGATTCTTGGTACCCTATGCACAACGTTGAGCTCGCGGACACTTGCGAAGAGGCAAATTTCCATTTACCTTGAATGCCAGGTGCTCCAAGAAGTGAGCTGTGCCATTGGTCTTGTCTGTCTCTGCCCTTGATCCTGCGTCGATCCAGACACCAACAGTAGAGGTTTGTGCCCATGGAGAATGCTCAGTAGCAATCTAAGGGATACGTAAGCTTCCAACAGCAATTGATTTGGAGTAAGTCATACGGTCAGTCCGTTGGACAGAGTTGTGCTTTCGGTATTGATGCCCTGGTGGATTGGAGTTGCGAAACCTCTTATGGGCTGAATTGATTTGAGGGCCGCGCGACTACGCAAAGCCTGATTCAGGTTGAGCGCCAGTCGCCTAGAGGCCATGGCTTGTGGAATAAATAAAGAAAGGACAAGATGCCTCGAGATTGCAAGCTTCCAAGTCCAGCAGAAGTTGAGATTGTCTACTGCCTTATTCTTCCTGCGGACTCTTTCGGCCAATCAAACACAACCGCCAAGCTTTACGCTAACAAAGGCGTCACCAACCGACAAGCGTTCACTTCGCTCCCAAATCCGCGGTGGAACGCTGAAAGACATTTCTCCTCACTCTTCCAAGCCCAATTAGCTGCACAATGGCGTCTATTGTGCGGCCTTCGCTGCTTCGGCAATCGGGTGTTGCGCCGGCGGCAGGTCGAGATCTCCGGAAACGAGCCCCGCAGCCATACGCTCTTTCCAAGCTCAATAGCTCTAGCTTTCGCACCCAGTCCATTGCGAGCCGCATCTTGCCTCTGAGATCCGATGTACTGAGGGGCATTCCGCCGAGTATGCTCAGAGTTGCAGGCTTTCACGCCAGTGGACGAAGACCCATCCTCCCTGCCGGCCCTCGTGAGTACAATTGATCATGGACCAAAGCACCTGTATGGAAGCTAATGTTCCTTGGCAGAGATCATTGATGGGACTGGTAAATATTACAAGATAGGCTATAAGCCCAAAATGGCTGCATATACTGAAGAAAGTCAGCAAATGATCCAGCACCTATACCCCAACCTTCGCCCACCCATGGGAGCTACCACTGGGCTTTTGAGAGGCACGAGCATCATTCTACAGCCATCACATCCCAGCTGACGAGACGACTACAGACTCATATCCGCTGCTCTAGTACCTTTGACAGTAGCTCCATTCGCTGCTGGGACCCTTAACCCTGTCACGGATGCAATCCTCTGCGCCACCATCCTCATTCACTCTCATATTGGTTTTCAGTATGTGGAACATTACGGTCTAGAGAGAAGCCTTGCTGACACTGCTAGGTCCGTAATCATTGACTATATACCATCGAAACGACTGCCGAAAACCAGAGCCTTGTTTTGGTGGGGTCTGCGTGCGGCAACTCTGACCGTGGCTGTGGGACTGTACGAGTTCGAGACGAATGACGTAGGCTTGACTGAGGCGGTTAAGAGGATATGGATCGCTTAGGGAACTCAAAGCCGAATCTTCATGTATATGATCTTTTGGGGTGCATTAGGGACTGAAACGAGCGTTTTTCCAAATGTCCTTTCGTTGCTACATTTTGCTCGGCATTCTCATTCCACCATCAAGCCGAATAACCACGCCGTTCAGCATAGAGTTTTCTATGCCCTCTCTTACAATTCTTGCAAATTCATCGGGTTTTCCTGGTCTGAGCGGAAATTCCATGACCCGGGTCAAACTTGCCCTTACTTTGTCGCTCATCAGAGCAGTCATACCAGAGTCGAAAAGACTTGGTGCAATGGTAACGACTCTGATTCCGTATTTTGCGAGATCTCTTGTCAACGGTAGGGTCAGTGATGCCAATGCTCCTTTTGACGCTGCATAAGAGACCTGACCCGGCTGCCCATCGAACCTATATGGATTTTTAGAATTCTTAAAATGAAGCTTGGCGTATTGGATACTCTACTCACGCCGCAGATGAACTAACGAGCAGCACCACACCTCTTTCACCATCTAGGGCCTCGGGTTCCACCTTGATCATATGTGGCAATAGCTGCCTCACTAGATCTATAGACCCCCTCACATTGATATTCATAACAAAATCAAAGCTTTTAATATCGAAAGGATCCCCATGACGATCAATGATCTTCGCGGGTGTGGATACTCCTGCAGCCGCTATGATGCCTCCTATCTCTTTGCCGGTCTGCTGGACCCACGACTTTGTGCCCTTGACAGCTGCTGCTATGCTTTCTGTATCTGATACATCTGCTTGGAAGAACCTGGTGGAACTAGAGCCGAGCTCTTGGACTAAGGCTTGACCGCTCTCTTCGTTCATATCAAGGATCGCAACGTAACCGTCTCTATCTACAAGTTGTCGTACCGTAGCTCTTCCCAGGCCTGACGCACTTTGAACGGTTGGTTAAAAGATTTGTACCAAAAATGTTGGAATCGACCGACTCACCCCCCAGAAACCACAAACGTCCTCCCTTCAATCTTCATTTTCAACCCGATTTGTCTGAATGCTGTGTACTAATGTTGCACGCTGGTGCTCAAAACTTCTGCGGGAACCATTTGTGGGTGATGCCGAGGTTCATTTTGCTCATGCCCTACTTCTCTGCCCTAAGTCTTCATGTCTTGAACCCCATCAAGAAGAGAGGTAAGGTATCTCATGGCTTTAGAGTCTAGACACATTGCTGAGATGAGGGTAGCTGTGTCTCCACACGGCATATTCATGGCTTGATAATCGAAATCGAGGCTGGACTCGAAAGCATGACCGTTTGGGGGGTATATTCAGCGCTCATTTATATACGTTCTGGTTCTCTCTTTACTTTTTCCTTTCCCTCACCTTCCATTTCACCCCAGCCTTGGTGGTTCCGCCCACGCTATTGCTCATCTTTGCTCGCTGGAGATCCAGCTCATTCTCCGCTTTAATGAGGTCCCTTTCCCGAGCGGTTAGCGCCGCCAACTTCGATCTTCGTGCATTCTGCTCTTTTCTGTGCTGCTTGCGCAGGAGCTTATCTTGCTTCAAGGCAAGCTCTTGACGTTCGGCCGCACGACCTGACTTGGGAGCTTCTTTAGGCGAATACATGAGTGGCATCCCATCTGAGTCGTCCTCTTCCTCGTTCATAGAAGAATATCCCGGCTTTCTCGTTGCAGAACCTGGCGGAAAAGCAAATTCTCCAGCCGCTTTGTACTGCGTCTGTTCCTCCCTACTGTCCACGAAGACCGTATGGCTTCCCGTTTCCTGACTCGATGACGCACCCAGCACTTCAGCACCCTGGTCCTCACTTAGAACAAACTCCTGCTCTAATCTTGCCCGTGCCCGCTTCGTCTTTTGAAGCATAGTAGTGACATATGCTGCGTCCTGAGTCTTCGATAATTTGACCACGTCTTGGCCGAGTACCGGATTTTGCCGGTCTGCTAACTTCTGCCCTTTTCTCGACTGCCTGCTCAGCATTCCATAGGAGAACTCGTCCGGGTTTCGCTCGGCAGCCTTTTGCCTAAGAATCTTGAGTCTCTTCTTATTTTCATTATGATTTTTGCTTCTTAGCGAGTAATCCTGTATCCTGCGTTAGCAAGCGAGCACGAACTGCAAGACACATCGATCAGCGGACCTTGTGCTTCTCAAGGATTCCCAGCCTCGCTTCTCGTTCTAATGGCTGTCCTCGTTCTCGATGATTGCGGCGCTGTGTTGCATTTCGCATTGAAGACATGGTTGCCGGGCTGTTCAAAGAGAAGATTGTTTCAGAGCATGGGATGTCCGGCGCCAAGGCATCTTTCAGCCCTACTCGTACAAGCGAGACACAACAAATCCACATTCTCAACCAAATTTATCGACATCATTTACACCACGGAACCCTTCGGTCCTTAAATCCTTTCGTGGAAGGCAAATAGGTAAGTTAAGAAATTATGACTTCCAGTCATCATGTGTCCTGCCATCCACTAATCTGCTGTCGCCCTTCCCAGTCACAATGCCTACTCCTAAGACCGCGCCCAAGACGACCAAGAAGCCCACTACCACACGATCCGCCATCGCCGATGTTGTCGCCCGCGAATACACCATCCATCTACACAAGCGAGTATGTTTCTCCTCTACATAAACACCAGATTAGTTTTGTGAAGTCCACTCTATGGCCCCTTCGTGGGTATTCAGGACGGAAGACTAATCAATTGGGTTTTTGTGCAGGTACACGGTGTAGCTTTCAAGAAGAGAGCACCAAGGGCTATCAAAGAGATTCGGGGTTTTGCGATAAATGCGATGGTACGTGGAACATTTCCATATCTCCATAACCCCTCCAATCCAACACCCCCATTACTAACATGCTTGCCTAACGTCAGGGAACCAAAGACGTTCGCCTTGACCCTCAACTCAACAAGAAAGTCTGGGAGGCTGGCATCAAAGGTGTGCCATACAGACTGCGCGTGAGGATATCAAGAAAGCGAAATGACGAAGAGGGTGCGAAAGAGAAGCTGTACAGCTACGTGCAGGCGGTGAACGTGAAGAACCCGAAGGGATTGACTACTGTTGTGGTGGAAGATGCTTGAGGTCGTCAGAGCTAGGTGCTGCATTTTCCACGGGGCACGCGTACCGCAAACTCGGTGGCCAAGCCCACAGGTGCCAAAAGCATGCGAAATCAGATATTGAAAGACATCATGGCAATCGCAAAATCACATGTGGTGGATGATGCGTCGGTATGAAAAAACATGTTTTAAAACCAGTGGTGATCATTTGTATCTTAATTAAAATGCAGTGGGTATGCCCTGCGCCATGCCACCATACGCTATGCAATGAATAGCCATCCCTTTCTTGTCCTTATTGTGAGAGCATTACCCTCTGCTCATCTGGCTTGTACACGGCATCCTTGCAGAGCACAACGACCTTTTTGAAGAACCTTCTCCATTCCACTGGATCTCCTTTGGCTTTCACAAAATTGATCTCTATCAAATGAGCATCAATGCCCGCCATTTTCTCAATCGCCACGTCGCCAGTCAGTGGGCAATGCCTCGTATCTGTTGCCCTGATCTTGATCCATACTGATGAAATCGTTGCTGAGGATGCGGCAAGCGGTGAAGCCGGAGTCGGGACGCCGAGGCTGTGCAGAGCATCTGCAATAGCTGCATGAAGACGGGCAAGTGGCCAAAGGGAAAAGAAACGTGTGAGGGAGTGTGAGGGTACGATGTCTCGGAATTGACGAGCGAACTGCGTCTTGCTTAGCGGTACCTGAGGACTAGCTGAGAATTGAGAGAAGGATGGTTCCTCTGCTAATCGGTCGTCCCAAATGCTTTCACTCATGGAAACACCGTTGACGATGCTTGGTTGACTAGCTGATACACTGTTACTAGCAGTAACACGTGGAGGCCGCTCCCAATCGAACATGATGTCGTTGGTTGGAGTCTCCGGCTGCGTTGAAGAGAGCTTTATCGTCACATCCTGGCTGTCGACATCCATTGCATCTTCAAAGCTTTGGCTGCGCTGGGTCTGTGAAGCCAACGGATCTTGAGAAAAGTCTATCTTCATGCTTTCGAACATCTGCGTTGCTAAGGCTAGTGGATTCGCGATCTTGCCGTCCGAGCTGAGAAATTTGTTCTCCCTTGTGAACCAAGGATGGCGACGGATTTCCGCCAACGAGAAACGCTCCTTCGGATTGACCCGCATCATGCCTCGTAGAAGTGAGAGAGTTTCTACAGGCAGATTGTGCCATAATTCGTCGTCAGGTCGGCCATTCGTCTTGACATATTGATCAAATTCATAGCTTCTATCCAATGGCTCGTCCCAGGGCGTATTACCGACTAGTAGAACGAAGAGAACAACGCCGCAAGACCAGATGTCGACGTAATCGCCTTGGTAACCATGATCGAGCTTCTTCGCAAGTCTATTGTCGCAGTTCACGACCTCTGGCGCAGTGTATGGTGGACTACCACAACTCGTTTTACACAACTTTTTCTCCCCTTTGTATTCGAAAAGAGTTGCCAGACCAAAATCGGCGATCTTCAAATTACCTTCTGCAGATAAAAGGATGTTTTCTGGCTTGAGATCCCGATGGCCTACACCTTTGGAGTGCATGTAGGTCACAGCACTAACGAGCTGCGTGAAGTACAGATGCGCAACGTCCTCGCCGACTCCGACGTCTGACTCAATCTTGTCGAAGAGGTCGCCGCCCTCAGCCAACTCCATGGCTATCCATCGCCAGGTGAAGTCCTCGCCTGCTTGAAAGAATTGCACAATGTTTCTGTGTTGGCCAAGGAATTGATGAAGATTTATCTCCAGATCGAGCTGCTTCTTAGTGAGACGACCATGTCGGACAGCAAATTCCTTGTGAATGAATTTGACTGCGAAGATGGGCTTCGGAGTATGGAGTGGTGCTGCTTTCTTGATGCTTAAACACCCAAACGTCAGCTTTTGCATGGATACAGGAGATGAGAAGCCCAACCAACCAAGCATATGCACCTTGCCCGATCGTCTTTGAGACGATTCGAAAGGGCAGCTCGCTGGGCAACGGGGCGAGCTGCGAATGGGCTATCATGATTGGCAAAGGCGTTTTCCACACATGCTACGCGTATCTATTGGAGCTCTGATGGTAGTTGGTGAGCGTCAACATGGACGTCTCTGCTCCAGTCCCCAGCTCTCAAAGTATAGATGTTATTTAACAAGTCGCGTGCTCGACGTGATGGGTGTTTCATATGGCAGCGGAAGTGCCCGCGTACCCCACCAAAGAATCCCTGTTCCGGCAGATCTTTAGCGCAATTGGTTGCATGACAACGGCGAGAACAGTAAACAATGCCCTGCACTTTCTTCATAAATACCTATTATCCACACCTCATCCACACCTTCACACTCCACACCTTCACACTCCACACCTTCACACTCCACACCTTCGCACTCCACATCAGCCTCACAGTTTTCGAAAGCATTGATACACAATAAAACTCTTCCATCACTGCTTAGCCCACACCACAAGTCTCCAATACCCATACGTTATTCGACGCAACAGTGTCCTCCATTAAGCCTTGACAACTATGGCTGACTTCACCATGGAAGACACACAGAATTCCGCTCCAGGTCAGCCATCTGTACATGAAGTCTCGAAACTCTCCTCCACTTCTCGTCGTCAGGACACACAAAGCGTGACAAAACGGTATGGTCTTTGAATTTCATGATCATTCCAGCAAAGCCTTGGTCACATCCTGCAACTTAATACTAACTTGTTTCTAGTCTCCAAACAGAGTTGATGCAGTTGATGCTTTCCAGCACTCCTGGTATCTCAGCATTTCCCTCTTCTCCAGAAAATCTACTCAACTGGACTGCCACCATCGCCGGCCCTTCTGAAACGCCCTACGCTTCCCTCACCTTCAAGCTTTCCTTCCAATTTCCGTCCTCCTATCCATACGCCCCACCGACAGTCCTATTCAAGACACCCATCTTCCATCCAAACGTCGATTTCAGCGGGAGGATATGCTTGGATATCCTGAAGGACAAGTGGAGTGCCGTCTACAATGTCCAAAGCGTGCTTCTGAGCCTGCAGAGTTTGTTGGGGGAGCCAAATAAGTATGCTCCTCTGCCTCTTCGAAATGTTCTGGGTTGTGATGCTGATTCCTCTTCTTCTGCAGTGCAAGTCCTCTCAACGGTCAGGCGGCGGAGCTGTGGGACTCAGACCCCACTGAGTTCAAGCGACTAGTTTTAGCGCGTCACCAGGACCTGGACGAGGAGTAGTGATCGATTACTTCAGTGCGACATGTTGTCTGTCAGCGAGTCCTTTCGATGCAGGCTCGACGAGTGCGGAGAAGAAAGGTCCCTAATTGCATTGCGTGGTTGGAGTACGATAGGTTTATGGCGAGGAGCGCAATTCAATTGAAAACCTCTGGGTATGATTGATGCAGACATCACTGGAGAATCAAAAATTGATTTTATGTCAAAGTCTTGCAACTGACCTCGATGAGCAACTTGTGATATCATCACCACACTCTGACTACTGAACGTATAAGCATCCACTCATACAAAAACGGTCATCCTGTGGCATCTTAAGGCCTTCTGAAAGCCTACCTTTGAACCCCAGTCGAAAACAAAGAATGGTTGCACTATTCCTTTCTAGATCAGCCGCATATATCATCGAAAAAGATTATACATAATGAGAGTAAATTTTCAATCGGTTTCCCAGTATCCATCGATCAAAGTCGTCCTGGATCTTACAGCCCAGCATTCGAAAACCCGCGTCTCATGAACTTGCAGCGCTCGGCGTGAAGTAAGCTGCCTGATCGGTAACTAGCATACCTGCAATGCTCGCACTTGTGAATGTGCTCAGAGCCCCTGAGATAAGCGCGGAAAGTGCCAGTCTTGAGACATCTCCTCCCCTTCCAGGCGCAATCTGGCTCAAGACCCCTATCTACGTGGATTTCGGAGTCAGCACTGCTTATTCGAGGCAGAATATGGAATCGCAAGACCGGCCACGGGAATAGAAAGGTCCTCTTGCTCCCGAAACACATCCTTTGACCAAATACCAATACCATATAGGAAAGCCTAGGTGAGAAATGTACGGACCTGGGTTCCCAAGCTCCCGATGTTTGCGAACCCACACAGCGCGTACGTCACTATCAACCTGCTGCGAGAGCTAATATCCGAATAGGCAGGGTCTGTCTGCAGGGCCGTGTAAGCAACAAACTCGTTAGCAACGAGCTTTGTGCCGATGAGTTGGGCAACTTTCAGAAGGTCTACATG